ATTTGTATTATAAACACATGGACGTAGCTGTAAGATTATCAGTAAGTATAAAATAAACGAATATTAATATTTTTCATTAGCGTTTAATACTTACTTAATCTCATTAATGGCATCGGTCGAGATTTTTGACGACTAGTATCGATCTAAGTATGTTAGACTGATCGGATCGCATCTATCGATCTCTAGAGAGCTGTGGCTTCTTCCAGACCAGCATCCGACCTACGCTCGGATCCGAGTCCATATCTAGATTTAAATTCAGATCCAGTTGGTATTTATCTTCGAATTTCAATAAGATTTTGTGAGATAAGACAATAATAAATAACTAAAATCTGGATCCTTTAATTGTTAATACACACAAAAAGCGCCAAATATTAGTGGTAAAAACACTGGGCTCTGGTCCAAAAAAACATTGAATCATAATTCTCTACCAATTTCTCAGTACAACCAATCGATTGGCAAAAGGCTGTTCGATGGATAAAAACCGATAGGAACGGCAGATTGACCGGTCCAAAATCTGGACAGACAATAGACCGGTGGAACAATCAGTCGTCGGTACTAATTCTGCCATTAACTTATCTATATAATAAAACTCCAATAGAATATCTAAAGAGTTTTGTTCTCATTGAAATGATCTAGAAAATTATCATAGAGAATGTATATATTTCTATTGTCTTTAGATGAAACTGATATTCATTTATTGTCTATATTAGGTTCAAGAATGCAATGGATTTCACCAACATTGCAAACTTATGATCAAGTCAATCTTGATCATAATATATACAAGTTTTGATATTAATAATCGAACAAATACGATATATAATTGTAGAAAAAGAGCAACTAATTATACTAAAGTAAATCGATTTGTTCGATAGAAAATTTTCCAATCGAGTATTGATTTTGTTTAGATTATTTCAATTGGTAATATTTTCATAGATGGTATAGCATTTGATTGAATTAGATGTAATTTATATTGTAGAGATTATATACTTGAACATGTTGAAGTTTCAACAATGGATGGTCGTCAATCGTCAAATATTCTATTATGAAAATTTAACAAATCCTTGCTCAATTATAATTGATCGACGTGCTGATGTTCGATTTTTATTTTCAATAGATTGGAGTAAAAATTCTCGTATTGAACGTTGTAATATGGATGATCAGCAACATCTTGGTATTACGAATGATTCTATTCAAATGCTATTAGGTTTAACATTTCATTTAATATGTGAAGAAATTCATTTTATAGATCATCATTTAATCTCTTTAAAACTTATATCTTTATTGGTATGATTGAAATTCGAATGAAATAAGACATTTAAATCGTTTTGAATATAGAATAAAAACACAAAAACATGAAAGAATATTATCAAAATGAAATATGAATCATATGAAAATTTCACATTAAGTTTATTAACCATAAAGTAAAGATTCTATAAACTTTTTTTGAAAACAAAAAAACAAAAACAAGAAATATTTTTATTGAAATTCGAATTTAAGAAACAAATCTTCATGTTAACAATCTCATTGTACATAATTATGTCTTCTGTCTCATATTCTACCATCAAGTTATACATGTACTTGTTCAACTGATTTTACTCTTGAACAAGATTAATTCACATATTCAAAAGGTTTATTATTTTTGTTTCGTTTTTTTTTGATTAAATATTTTTATCAATAAAATATTCTTTTTGTTTTTTGTAAGATTATTCTCCATTTATAATTTATATGAAATGTAATAGAATTGATAGAATTAATTAGTGTCAAATATAATCAACAATATATTGATGAAAATTCCAATTATGATCATTTATGAAAATGTTTTATGATAATAACGAATATTGAAATAATGGTGATGAATTTGCATTTGATGAAGTTAATGAAACAATTTATTAGGTACAAATTAAAAGTTTCTTACCAGATGAAATATCAAGAGTAAACAACTCTTTTGCTTTAGTTTATATAAAGAATATCAATATCTCTAAAAGCGAATACTAAAATAAGAGTAATAAGATACCATTTTATTTGAATTAAATTCAATTCGAACATTGAACTTTTCGTATAATAGTGAAATTAAATATAAATTCAAAAGGTTTTTGATAGATGGCCCTCTTTTCGTGTCAAAATACTCATTGATAGTAAATTATATCTTATAAACTGGAAGAATAATTGGTAAAACCTTCTCATTTATACTCTATATTGAATTGATTTTTCTAGTATGAAATTTGTCGAATTAATTTCAATAATATTAATGAAACGAGCTTTTTTTTGTGATGACGAAATATTAATTGATATGGAAGCAGATACCATGCAACTCGATACTGTTCTATGGTAAAATAATTTTTCAAATTGAGTTCTTTTTATGATCATTAATGATTTAGTAATCTATTTATTGTTGATATTTGTCATAGTCATATTGATGTTATATCATTGAATGGTCAATATTGTACAATAATATATAGTAATCATGAAAATGAAACTGGTATCACACGTTCAATTGCACTTGATCTTGATACAGTGAATGGATATAGTCTGTTTTAAATTTTTCTTTTTAATTTGAAGTTTGATTTTGTTTCGCAATAGTTTTGTTTATGTGGATTGATCTTGATAATGGATAAGTTCTTCAATGAAAATAGTTTGTATTCATTTTGATGAAAAATATCCGGAAAATACTGTTATTGTTGATAATCTTTTACAAACAAATTATATTGTTTATAATCTTGATCTTCATTGTATTTTTTGAAGTGATGTTGATACACAAAAAGTAAATAAATCTTCATTTAAATTTCGTTGCTTTTATTTGTTTTTTTTCTTGAGAGGATTTCGATTTCAATAGATTGTATATCTTTGTATAGATTCTCGAAATACGAAAGTTTTTGATATTGGAATAACTTTTCCATGTGATTTTGATTTTCTTACACATTTACTTTCTCGAATATTATTATCATCAAGAACAATAAATGAAAATAATGATATAACATCAACATACTATTCATTACTTTTTGTTGATAAAGATTTAGAAAGTGTTTATAAAAAATAGTTTGATCATAATTTAAATTCTGTTAGTGATGTTATACTAGTACGAACAAATCAAGAAGATCCAATACAAATTCGAGCTTATCCACGTTATGAAGGTCAATATGATTTTTCTCATCTATGAAATTGATCTTTTTTAATAGTCATTCCGAAGATACGAGATACTTTCCTCGATTATTTGACTTCAACGCTTAGCATGTCTTATACATGCCTGAAGAAATCTTGACAGTAATCTCATAAGAATAAAGTTCTGATTACCTGTTATTTTTAAAGTAACAATTGTCTCCTTGAAAATGGATCTGAACTTTGTTGACAGGAAAATTTCACAGTCGAACTAAATCGAATCGTATCCAAGGATCTCGAACTCCTTAGATGAACTTAGCTTAATAAATTATTTTTTTCATATTACCACAACTGATAAGAAAAGGTTTTTCATTCCATTTATAGAGAAGGATAGATTGGTCAGCATAGTATTAAAAAATATTACCTATTTCATTACCAAAAACATTGCTGTAAATCAGAGTCCTGAAACATTAATTTGCAACATTGATAGTTTTAACATTATTTTATAAATAATGCTCAAATTATTTTCAATATGTTTTAACTTACTTAGTTGAAAATTTTCTTAAGGCATTTATTTTATTATTACAAAATAAAATGAATCAGTCGAAGATTAAGTAATAAAAACATATCTCGCCAATAGTTTCGACCAATAATAAAAAGTTCACTAAATTCTTCACTATAGGTGCTTTATTAGGATGAATATGATGACATTGATGAGTTCGCGTTGAATTTGTTTTAAATA